CGAAATAGGCGGCAAATAGAAAGAATATTAAAACCTGTTTTTCTACACTGCGACAGTCTTGACTCATCTATATGCGACTGTATTATAAACTCCATTTTGCAAATGATTGGACAGGTTTGCCGGAAATATTCCTATTTCTTGCTAATTATTTGTTAGCCTAGCTTTGTGTTCTGGTCGCTATAACCCGACAGAAACAAATTCTCTTTTTGTCTCATCGATATTTTCTAGTACAAGTTGATTTGCTTTATTCGTTAAAGAGGTTACTTCCAATTTCTTGTATAGATTAGTCTTCCGAGTTAGTGTTTTTAAGAAAGATTAGGAAAAGGTCACAGATATTTCAGATATTTTCTATATATAATAAGCTCAAATATATTCGAATGACATCCCAGCATATATTTCCAAGCTTCCAGATCGTCACCATTAATTTCTTGTCGAAATTCGACTAGTTATTTTGAGAAAAAAACTTCTATCACCTCAACATCCTGAAGGGACACGGCGAATGGTGTCCTTTCATATAGAAACTTTTTTTCATGGCCATGTTGACCTTTTTCATTCGTATGTATTCCGTTAGAGGGAAAGAGATAAAATAAATCAAGATCTTCCACTAATATCAGTTTTTGTCCGAAAGGGAATTTTCTTTCGATAGACAAATAATTCTTTATCGTTAAAAAACGACATCTTTTTAGTATTTTTCTAATCAAATAGAAACAAAAGGAAATCAAAAGCCTAAAAGTACTTGCATATAGACTATCGATGATGCTCTGCATGTTGACGTTTGCCCAAGCTCTCTATCTTGTTTCGTTTAGAAATGGCATATACAACAAAGTCACACTGTATAGGTAAATGAAGAATTTTTTCGAGCCACGCTATATCCAGAACCAATGAAGAAAAACGTCTATCCACACAGTATGCAATATGAACATTAAATACTTTTGAATGTTTCTTTCCTTCTTTCTCCCTTGAAGTTCGTGTTCGCATCATCATCCTAATGATTTGCCATTGTCTATGTCCATGCATTTTTAACTTTTCTCTATATACATTTATAATAATAAAGTTGACACATCAATCTTATAGCTACCTGTCTTCTGAGTGACTAATGTGGTCGACCAAAAAAATAGAAAGATGACGATTTTCTTTTTCTTTCTCATTTTTTTTCTTCTTCTTTTTCATCATATTACCTTGACAACTTGCATTGCGTTCCTGTTCTTTCCCTCATGCATAAAAGATGCTTATGCCAGAGAGAATAACGTGGAAACATGTATTTGACACAAATCAGTAAAATAAAAGTAAATTTAAACGGATTATTGTTTCGATTAGTGAAAGATTTTATCGTTTTGTCCTTTTTTTTGAGAAAACAATGAACCACAACAATAGAATATTTGATTTTGACAATGATTTATGGGTAAGAATAATCACCAGAAGAGCACATATAATGAATGCCTTTTTTCCTTGTGTTTGATTGTTTAATTGCGATATATGATTTCGATTTGATTAATAACTTTTTATCTCATCAGAAGACAAAAGAGGAAATATTATTTAATGGATTAGTTTAAAAAAATCATCAGAAAAATCAATTTTTATCTAACCATACACTCTTATGCTTTTGCTGTTAATATAGTAGAATTAATAATATGCTTGCTACGTGCTATTGTATTCATTTTCTCCAAGTGAATATAATCAGTCCAAACTGATATATCTGAGTAGTTTCCCGTTCCAATTATTGGATATGTTTTTTTTTTGACTATCATCTGAATATCTTTCAAATAAAATGATAAATAATTAACTTAACATTTCACACCATTTTTTTTATTTGAACTCTGTCTGTATCTTGAGAGTACTATTGTTTTCTGTAATATACATAGTAATCATTTTTCCACCTTCATTTGTCACATAGATAAAACTGTTTTATTCAATATAAATGAATTAATCTTTGAATTTTGCCGATATTAACATCATCTTTCCTACTCTTCATACGATTATTATATCTATGATCTAAAATGGAACAAAAATTGTATACTACAGTATATTACAGATGATACGCTCCTTTGTTTTTTTTTTGGATCGTCATTGTTTTATTTTCCTTGTGGAGACGTTTAATGTTAGAAAACTCTCAGCTGATGTCGTATTATAATCTTAATCAGATCATATTTATTACAATATTGTGAATCATAGCGCGTCTGTTAAAAGAAAAAAATTTTTTTTTTCTTGCAACAATGTAGGGATTAATCGTTTGTCGATAAGACTTCTTTACAAATATTTGAAGAAAATAAATCAAGTTCAACTTTTATGTAACATATAGGATATAAAGTTAAAATTTTTATGTAATAAATTATTAATGCGCTAAAATATATTTTTATCTAGTGAACAGAAAAACATAATGTTTCATTTCTTGTTTTTTTCTGACTAACACTTAACATAGATATAAATGTGACATATAAAAGATATGTGTTTTATAAAAAAAAAAAAAACAAAAAAAAAACCAGAAAGAATCTGTGTTAAAGCGTATATAAATTTCGTTTATGTTGAAAATAAATATGATAACACCTGCGACCTTTTCTTCTTGATATGTATAATATATACCTATACATATAGCAGAAATTAAATACAATAATTTTTTGTTTCATCTATTGTTTCGTTTCTTGACGAATAAAAGTTTTATTTCTTTAATTGACAACATTATGATTCTATAAATAGGATCGCTATTTTCTCTTTACATCATAAATATATATATATATTTTTAATAAGATGTAGAAGAACGGAAACGAAACTCACTTTTATTCCAATATATATATATATGTATGTATAATATGACTTTTGAACTTAAAACAAAAGAAAAAACACATGTAAGAGAAGAAAAAAAATAGAAGAAAACAACTTAAGATATAAGTTTTTAAATTTCAAGTATATAACATAACAAGTTTAGTTTTTGTTTTTGAAGAATATTGAAAAAGAATATTCTTTTCAGTTTCTAACAGGATAATTGCGATTTTATTTCTAACTTATGTCGTTATTTGATATAACATTATAGATTTTTTGCTATTTTACATCAATGTGATAATCTGTCAGTGTATTAACAAATAGAATGGAGTAATAAAGTTTTTTTTTGTTTTCTTTTCAAATTACATTTGAACGAAGGAAATATTTTCACTACAACATCGTTGTTTTCTTTCAAATGCAAATAGAATATCATTCATTCATTTATTTATTTATTTGTTTTATTTTATTTTAGAATTCTCCATTTTCGTCATCATCCATTCTCGGTTTATTTCCACCAAAGACAACAACATCAACATCATTAGACAATGATGATATATTGACAATTCAACAACCAACATTACTATCGGCGTGTATAAGCAACGAGAGTAGTGGAAGTGGGAGTAGTCATTCATATTCAGAAAGTGGTTTTTGTTCATCATCTTTATTATCGTAAGCTATTCGATTTTCTTTTTATTATTATTAAACGTTGTTTACATATTTAAAATTTATTTTTATTTTAGATCATCTTCAGTTATTTCCGCTTCTTCATCACCACCGCAATCATCCTCTCCTTCAGTTTTAAAACGTGCATCATCAATCTCGATCATGCCAATAAATATCCATTCGACTAATAATAATAATATTTTATCTACAAGTTCTCCAACTTGTTCAAATGTAAATTCAGCATCATCATCACCATTGACATCTTACAACAATTTTCCATTAACAAATCATTTATTGTTAAACGATTCAACATCCTCTTCTTCATCTTCATCTCCTCAACAACAACAACAACAACAACAACAACATCATCATGGTAATAATAATAATATGCAACTATTTCAATGTTGTCCATTTTGTGGTATAGTTTATAAAAAACAAAATCCTGCACGTGTTTTACAATGTTTTCATACTATATGTGAATCATGTGTAAATAAATTACCTCCATTATCAAATGGTAGTAGTGATGGATGTAATGATGATGAAAATGAAAATTATTATCTTAATTGTCCATTGTGTGGTCTCAAAACAAATGTACAAAATATATTACCTGATTATACAATACATAATGTATTAGAATGTATGATGCCGTTGAATGAAACGACAACAGAACAACATTGTACAACATGTAATAATATTGAATCATTAGCCATGCCAAAATGTTGTTCAAATGGTCAAAGAGTAAGTATTATTTTATTTAAAAATAAAATTTAAAAAAAATAAAATATCTCTACATCGTATAATAATAAATATCATTTAAAATTTAAAAATAATTTTTAATAATTATCAATCTTTAAATCTATAATTAAATATGATCAGTATCACGTTGTTTCTAAAACAAAATTTTTTTTACTCATTTTTACAAAGAAACGATCATTTTCTTCTATATGATTTATATATCACTTACTACAAATAGTTTTTTTCCATCTCTTTCATAAATTTACAAGATGTTTAAAGTTATATTTTATTTTTGAATAACTACACAAAGATTATTAAGTTTTTATTCGTTTAGAAATATTGTAGATAGCATTTTATGTGTGTTTTTTCTAATACAATAAGTCGTTCGTTATTGAAAATCTATCGATTTTATTATTTATTATTGAGTTAAATAAGTTTTAAAGATACGAAACAATTTTGTCTGTGTGTGTGTGTGTGTGTTATATTACAATTATTAAGTTTAGTCTTAATTTGTTCCGTATACGCGCATATTTTACAAATCAATTAGAGACGAATCAAGAAGATACCATTATTATGTGTTATATCTCGAATTTATCAATACTTTTCTTCTTTTTTTTTTCTTTGTTTTCTAGTAAGAAAACTATCAACATCATTTAGCTAGAGAAACACAATTCATTTATCTTTTTCGTTGTGAATGTTTTTTTTTTTTAAATTCTTAATAATGAATATTTTATTAAATTTAATTTAATAAAAAAAAAAAAAAAAAAAACTAAATAAAAGGAAAAACCTAATTCTCTAAATAATCAATCAATCTTTTCCGTTTTTTATTCATTCAAATCTTTTTTTTCTAGAACTTCTCGCTTACATTTCTTCTTTATCAGAAGGCTTATACTTCTTTCTTTTTTTTATTTCGTTAGTGTAAGAAGAAAAAAATAAGACAGAAAAAGGAAAAGAAAAGTATAAATGAATTGTGTTTCTCTAGCTAAATGATGTTGATAGTTTTCTTACTAGAAAACAAAGAAAAAAAAAAAAATTAATGTCTTATCTTGTATAGAGGATGTAATAGTATAGACCCTGAAAACATACAAATTGTCAAGAGAAAATAAGTTTTCAACACTTCCTCTACACTAGATAGATAATTTCTTTGTTATTCCGTTTTTCAGTATATTATTATTATTATTTTTTTTTTGTGTGTATGTGTGTTTAAATTCGTCTTTTGAGAATTTGATCTTTCATGAAATTTTCTCAAAATTATTCTCGATTATTCTTTTTAGCATAGAGTATCTAATGTTTCTAAATAAAAGAAGAAAAAAAAAAAAAAATCAAGATTCACTTGTACACAATTTATGTTCTCAAAATTGTGTCTTCTCTTCTACTTTTTAATTGCTCTGAAAGAGAAAGCCGGAAGAATAAAGATTCTACACAAATGATGTTAACATTTGAGAAAAAATGTTGAGAAAGTTGACATGGAAGAGAGAGAAGAAGAAGTATCTGAAATAGAAAAATATGAAACCATTTCAAAAAGAAAATCAAAACTCGAATAATAACAAATTTGATGATAAAATTCATATTTAATACTGAAATAGAAACATCATATGTTTTGTTTTGAAGTGCAATTTTTATTCTTTTTAAATTTAAATATGAAACAGAGAATAGATTGTTTAAGAAAATTCATAGTTTTGAAAATTAAAATAAAAATCTTGTACTTTTTTTCTTTGGAAAATTGCAGAAGATTTCTATGTTCTGAAAAAATAATCATAGTCGAATATAGCAAATAGATGAGAGAAACAATGGTAGATCGTTTTATTTTGCTTAGATCATAATAAATAGTGTTTTTAAATCTACTGTATGTAAAATTCTATTATTGGGTTTTGTCTAATTTTGTCGTTTTTTTCTTCTTCTTTTGATTGTACATAATTACGAGTTATTCTCGTGCATGATTATCTGTTATTATCTTCTATCCTTCTCCATATTCTATTTGATAGAACGGATTCATCGAAGCACATATACACACACACACATCAAGATTTTCAAATCAGAAACTATCTGTATAAAATACAGGCAAAATTCAATTCTGAACTCGAAACATTCATCGAGATTTTTTTTTTTTTCTAGTTTAAAGAAGAAGAAAAAAGAAAAGAAAAAAAACTTTTTTAAGTCTCGTTTTTTTTCTTTTGGGTTCTTCCCTGTGTAAACGCATTTTTTTCAATTAACCCTTTTTTTTTTTTTTTTTTACGTCTATATATATCTGGTTTATCAAAACACCAAAAAAAAAAAAAAAAAACTAAAGAAGAAGAGAAAAGAAAATCATTCTGTTTTTCTCTTTTTTTGTTCTCGAACTTTATTATTATTGTATAAAGAGAGCATATAAAAAAAAAAGCTAAAATTGTTTTGTTATTGCGTGTGTGACCGTTTGATTCTGTTCAGTATTTTTCTTTTTTTATATTCTCACTATTACTATCATCAGTAGTGCACAAGAATCATTAACTTTTAAACAAGATTCTATCTTCTTCTTTTTTTCTTCTTTTTTTGTTCGATGATTTATTAAAAAAAAAAAAAAAAAAAAAAAAACAAAAATAAAAATAATAATAATACTATAATAACGTGTTTTATCGGCCGTCACATTCGAAGACATCAAACAGATTTTAAACTCGTACAGTTTAGTTTCCTTTATTTGATGCTAAAATAAATTATTCGTACAACAACTCAAATGGTAATAATAACAAAAAAAAACAACATAATATTTCTTCTTTCTTGTTATAATGTGACATTACTTTGTTGAAGAAATACATGATGAATGAATTAGTTTTAGTATGAGCGACGGTATGATGTCGGGGTTAAAAGTTCATCTATACATTGTTTTTTTTTTAATTCAATTTATGAAAACGTTTTTTTAAATTCCACTATTATGTATATTGGTTGTATAAGATTCAAGATGTTTTTTATTCATAAAGTTTGATACTCTCACTTTAGCTTTTAAATTACCGGACGTTTACTATCCACTTGTCTTTTGTTCTTGAACTTTTTGAGGAAGACCCGTTTTTTTTTTTTATCTTTCTTTTTATAATAATATAAATTTTAAAATGTTAATTAAATCTTAATTTTGAGAACATTCGTCCTCTAGTAAATCAGACAGAAAGATCGTATTTCTGTGTATGCTTTTCTTTTTTTTCCCAATCTAATACCAAACGTATATATATATATATATATATATTTCATCACTTATTTGAAGTTCATACATTCAGAGAATACGGTCGTTGATATTGTTTATCTATCGAATAATAGTTTCGCTATTGAATGAAACTACTCCTATTCAAGAAAAGATCAATAATAGAATTAATTACTGTTAAATTCTTTTTGTTTTATGAAAAAGAAAAAGTTAACAAAAGTTGTGTCTATATGGAAATCATCAGAAGATACTAATAAAAAATTTGCAAAAATTTCATATTTATCTCTTTTTCTACGTTGTTCGTTCGTTATTATAACAACTTATATATGATTAATAAATAGTAAGATGATATTAATAGAAATATACCATATTTGTTTGATATAATCCATGATATAAATAAATAAATACAAACAGGTATATGATATACATGATCTCGATCGAATAAAAACAATTAAACATTTTATAAATATTCGTGTTAATTATTTCCGTAAAATAACTATTTGCCGTTGGGGTAGAATAAATTGCGTGTTATGATAAAAATTTGTCGTCATAAAAAATGAGAATACTGATTTCTTCTTTTTTTTTTAGTGTTTTTTTTTTTTGTGACGATATTCTTACTCGTACACATCCATACTTAGACTTTTATTTTTTTTTTTTGTCACACATTTCTTCTCTTTTTTAAGGTTGTGTATATAAAAGAATTTGAATCAAATGTTAATAATAATGATTTGCGTCCATGTACAAATCATAAAAATGAATCATTAAAATATTTTTGTTTGACATGTAACATACCTAGTAAGTTATTTTGTCTACTAAATTATTGTAGTATATATTTGTGCTATATATATAGTTATATTTATTTTTCTTTAGTATGTAAAGAGTGTATAACAACTGATCACGGACGAAATCATGAATATATATCATTGAATGATGCTGGTATGAAATATAAAAGTGAAAAATTGAAAAATAGCATATATTTTAAATATATATATCATTGTTTGTATTTAGGATCACATCAAGTGGCAAAATTACAAAATATGGTAGAAAATACAAGATTACGTTTAAATGAATTAAAATATTCACAAAAAACATTTGAACGAGCCTGTGGAATGTTACAGGTATGATTAATATGTGTTCATTTGTCTAAGACTATTTATTAAAGAGATTATTTCTTACTGATTCATTTATTCTCATAATTTATTTAGACTCAGTATCATAAAGCACAACATAATATCAATGAAACCTATAATTTTTATCGTCAATTACTTGAAGAACGTAAACATGAACTAATCAAAGTATGACAGAATGATCTATCGAATGATTTTCACTTGTTTTATGACACTTATTTTCGAATTTTAGGAACTTGATAATGCTTTTACAGAGAAGCAAACAATTTTAACTAATCAAATGCAAAAGATTGATGATACATTGACAAGAGCTAATCAAGTAAACTATATTTGTTATTTTAATATCATTTTTAAAATAGAAATTTATTTATTTTTTTATAATATTATAGCCTTTGGATTTTTCTGATCGTTTATTTAAAAATTCATCAACAACAGAAATATTAATATTTAAAAAACAATTGGAAAATAAATTAAATACAATAATACAAATAATGCCTGATCCAAATATGCATTCAGCATTCGAAATTGAATTTGTATCAAATTTTCAAGCAATACAAACAGGTGTTAGAAATACATTTGGTTATGTGAGAACATCACCTGAAATGACAACGGTAATTAATATACTTAAAACAAAAAAAGAATTTTTTTCTTATACAGTCTATTCATAATGTTATAGAATAATCATTATAAACCACGTCCAATCGCACCACCATTAGCATCAATGAATAATGCTTGTCATAATCATAATCATAATCATCACAATGGTTATAGTCCTACAAAAATACATCAACAGCATAATAACAATAATCAACAACAGCAGTCACAGTTACATACATCTTCATTCATTTCAAATGGCCTAGATGTACTTGGATTATCATCAAATATGAAGAAATATGCTACACCAACACCGATAAGTTTTTCATCATCTGAGGCAGATATTAATCCGTATGAATTATGGTCAACTGGTGGCGGTTCAATGACATCACCCATTTCTGCACCTTCAGTAACATCATTACCATCATTGCCTCCATTATCATCTTCGACTTCAACGAATGGTACAACAGATCTTGGTGGTATATATACAACTCTTACTTATTTGAAAATTACAATTGTATTAAATGGTTTCTTGTTTTTTTCTTTTGTTTAGTTGATATGGTAGTTGATAGTCTTCCGAATTTGGATGCCTATGGAACGCTTCCACACCATTTAATGTTGCCATCAAGACCAAATGGTTCATTGAAACGACATAAAATGATATATCATTTAAAATTTGGTGAATTTGGAGTAATAGAAGGACAATTTACAGAACCATCTGGAATAGCTGTCAATGGTCAAGGGGATATTATTGTCGCTGATACAAATAATCATCGAATTCAAGTATTCGATAAAGATGGTAAATATTTCTTTTCTTTAATTGATATAACTAAAATGTACATAGAAATTTATGTTTTGTAAAGGACGATTTCGTTTTCAATTTGGTGAATGTGGTAAAAGAGAAGGCCAATTGTTATATCCAAAGTATGTTTTTATTATATAATAAATATTTGTTTTTAACAATTTTCTTTTCTAGTCGTGTTGCCGTTTTTCGACAATCAGGCGATATTGTTGTCACAGAAAGAAGCCCTACACATCAGATACAAATTTATAATCAATACGGACAATTTGTAAGAAAATTTGGTGCAAATGTTTTACAACATCCTCGTGGTAAGTTTCAAAAATTTATCTTATATCCGTATTTTTGTATTCATTTTTTTATTTAATTGTAGGAGTTTGTGTTGATAATCGCGGACAAATTATTGTTGTTGAATGCAAAGTGATGAGAATATTTATTTTCGATTGTAATGGAAATGTATTGAATAAATTTACGTGTTCAAAATATTTAGAATTTCCAAATGGTGTATGCTGTAATGATAAACAAGAAATATTTATTAGTGACAATCGAGCACATTGTATTAAAGTATTTTCTCAAGTAGATGGACAGTTTTTACGCACCATTGGTTCAGAAGGTAAATAGTAACAAATTTATTTCTCATAATTCTATAAAATTAATAATGTGTAGATCTTTATTCAGTAAATTAATGAAATTATGAATACAATATCTATCACTATTCTAGGTATAACAAATTATCCGATCGGTGTCGTTATTAACAATCATGGTGATGTATTAGTGGCTGACAATCATAATAATTTTAATATAACTATATTTGATCAAAATGGTAATTTAATAAGTGCATTAGAAAGTAAAGTTAAACATGCACAATGTTTTGATGTTGCACTTATGGATGATGGCTCTGTTGTATTAGCCAGTAAAGATTATCGTGTTTATGTTTATCGTTATTTAACAACACCTGGTACAAATGGTGGCACAGCAGTATCAACTATTACCACCACTACAAATTCTTCGTCAACACCTACTTCACCTATTTCATCATCATCAACAACACCACAAATCACTTGTACATCTCCCAATCAACAAAATCAAATTGATCAAACTCAACAAACATTGATAACTCAAAATGGATATTGTTAAGTAATAAATAAGATTTTGTTTTCTTTTTATATGATTTTTATTTCTGTTATTTTTCTCGTTGCATGTTATACATTATTCTGTAAAAGTGATAGCACTCGTGTAAACGTATCGTAGCTCTGAACTTCAAATTTGTGTATTTATAGCTCTCATTAAATGCTGATAACGAACCAAGTTTAAACCTGTTTGACTGAATTCTTCGTGAGATATAATAATTGCATTTTTTTTTCTTGTAAAATACTAATAACTCTTTGATACACGTGATCCTTTTTAAAAAAAGCAGAAAATAACCTAATGACACGAGAATATTTGGTAAAATTTTTATGCTAAAATAATATTCTTCGGTTGCATTATGAATTTTATTCAAAAATATTTACAAATATCAAAAGTGATCGATCAAGAGTCATTAGTATTCTAATGAAAAAAATGCAATTGTTACATCTCACAAACAAACCAGTGGAACAGACTTAAACTTAGTGAGTTATTACCATTCAATGAGAACTAATTTGAAGTTTATAGATATCAGAGTTTATGAGTTGATAGGAGGGATGCTCTTACTATTACACAGTACTGTGTGCATATCTGTAAGTAACGACGTTCGCGTGTAATTCTTCCTATAATACTCAAATTTCCGGTTTATATGATCAAAAACAAAATGCAAAAGATCAAAACTTTTCTATTATCACGAACAAGACCTGTTTTTTTTTCGTTATTACTACTATTGTTGTTTGTTGTTGTTGTTGGTTTTTTTTAATATTTTTATGTAATATCAGCATTAGCTTCTTTATTTCTTCCCGTTATCTGCAGTACATTATCATTATTCTTCATTAAAAAAAAAAAATGTTCGACTCTATGTGAAATGAACATTCTCATTTTACTTAGAATCGAATAGACTCATTTTGATGTAGGAAACAGTGATGGTGTATTCTTATAACATGTTGTTTTTTTTCTTGTTATCGTTGTTTTGCTCTAGTTTGTTTTCTGTATCTTAGATTATTATTTTGCCACAAAAGTTAAAATCAAAACAAAAAAATCTAAAAAGATTGCAAAATTTCTTTTAAAAAATGTTGTTGTTGTTGTTGTTACCAAATTTATTGTTATATTTCTTTTTTCTCTTCCTAATCAGTATATATTGTTATATCCTCTCTTTTTCACACTCTCACTTGTTGAATGTATTAGTAGAATATTTTTCATTTTTTATCGTTATTATTGTTGTTGTTACCTTTTCTGTTTTCGATATGCGGCAGTCAGATCATGTCGTATTATCAAAGAGATGAATCAATATCTACATTTAATAGCAGTCAAATGTATTGTTTTTGTATATACTAAATATTATTATCCCACCTATGTTTGCTTTTGTGTATATCTAATTTAATTGTTTCGTGCAAAGTATTCCATTCCTTGAACACCCATCAATAAAAATACAATTTATTTTTTATTCATCTTTTCGTTTTGTTGTGGTTGTCAATTTTTTTAAAAAGAACTTTTTACCATTTAGAAAGTATCTATTTTTTTTGGCTTGTTTTATCTTCTTCTTTCAAAATACTCCAAAGTATTCGCCGCTACTTAGTTTTTTTCTCTTTTTTTCGGTATATGTTTGTGTGTGTGTGATCTCCCTCAACCAAAAACAAAGAGCAAAGTATTATTGATAAAAACTATACTCAAGTTAACTTTAACTGTCTCTGAAAAATGAGCCATTCTTCAAACTAATCTATTTTGCACAAGTTTGTCTTTCATTTGTAATCTGACTCTGAACAAACGTATTTTCTATGCCTCGAGGCGTCCTTCCTGTCACGTTTCTCTTTTTTAACAAATCATGTACGTTTTCTCCTGTTGCTTCCGAATTTTTTCTTCCATCCGTTGTTACTACTAATCATTTTTTCAAACTAACCGTAAATGTATTTTGTATTATCGTCCTTTAATTGCTGTGTTACAATAAGCTAGCATGCATACACTATACACTATACTTCTTTTAAGTTACAGAAACAGTAAATTTTTGTATGTTTTGTGCTTTTTGTATTTTGTTTTTGGTTGCTAGTTCCTTTTTCTTCATGTTGTAGTTCATCATTGAAAAGCTTTATCTGTCTACTTGTTTATTTGTTCGTTCGTTCTTTTCCTTCTCTCACATACTATATGAAATGATATTCTTATTGTTGATTGCATTCATTTTTTGTTGCACAGTTTTTTTCGGTTTATTATTAATATTATTATATTATTAAACGTTTTGTTTGTTTGTTGTATGTTAAGTTTTTTTTGAATTTAATAATAATCACGGCTAAGAAAAAATTTGGCATAGGATAATATGGAAATTGGTTATATCCACATAACATCCATCTGATGTTCATTAACAAACACATTCTATCTCATAACGATTTTTCTAACAAGCTATTCCCCTTATAAGCAAGAATCACCATTGAATTCCGTGTGAAAACTTGTACATCAAACTGTTTTTTATGGAATTTTAATATACCATAGCAGAAATACACCGACTGAAGCAAGCCTCTAGAACTCGGTGCCCACCACCGAGCCCCCGAAGCCCACCACCGAGCCCCCGAAGCCCACCACCGAGCCCCCGAAGCCATTTTCTCGAAATTCACAAATCCCAGGATGGACTATGATAGCACACCTGGTGTACTTCAGCAGTATACTAGGGGCTTCAGAATTGACCAGTTTTCATGGAGAAAATCATTCCTCATTCGATTTCACTCATCGCCGAGCATGGTCATTTTTGAACAAAATTGCAACTTTCAAGTCGTTTGTATTGAAAATGAAAGCACCGGAGACCGTCAAACTTTTACCAAATATGCTTCGACATATAATCTATTTGGAAATATGGTTGAAAGTCTCACGGTTGACTTTGTTTCAAATGGATGCTACGGGAAAATTCAGGGTTTTCTGGATGTGGGCTCTTAGTGCGCCATCTATTACAAAATAACGAAAGCATGTTTTGAGCATGCGGTTGCGTGGTTTTGTAGTTCACACTATCTACTATTTATGGGCAAATCTTCAAGGTTAAGTAAGCTGAATGTTTTTTGAGATGAATCATATTACATATGATCTAGAAGGAGAGTGAAAAACAAAAGGAAAATATTTTATGTTCTACACGTGTTTTATTGTCTGTTTCTGTGTTAGAAGTTATTTTTTGTACATCAGTTGACTGATGATGTCTTTAGAATAAAGACGAAACGTCTCAATTTGAAATGGTCATTTCAACATGTAAAAAGGTGATTTTAATCTTGATTTCTGCCATAAAATTTTTCACCTTAAACAAGGAATCAATTGTTAAGTAATCTGTTGTTACTGAATTACAAGAGTTTAAAGTTGGCAAATTTTCAAGATGGCGGAATCTACGTTTTTCGGGGGTTTTCGTAAAATCTCAGTATCGCAGCAACGATACAACTTTTTGATTTATGCCTTTTACCAAATTCATTAAAATGTTTGATCTACAAGGGCTCTCTACTTTGGAAGAGTTTTGAGAACGTCGGTCGTGGCTTACTTGTAATGGCTCTTAAACCCAGGTCAAAGATTCACGACTGTATACTATAGTATTTTGACGTAAACCCGGCCAAAGTATTACGTCAGCCGTTACGACCATCGTATTTCGTCGTATTTTGCGTAAACGACGTCGTTTACGATGGACGTAATACGTTGGCCGGGTTTACGTCAAAATACTATAGTATACAGTCGTGAATCTTTGACCGGGGTTTAAGAGCCATTACAAGTAATCCACGACCGACNGGGGTTGTCCCGTGCTGTCCTCTACTCCCCCCCCACACCCCCCCCCCCCCCCCCCCGACGTTCTCAAAACTCTTCCAAAGTAGAGAGCCCTTGTACACCAAACATTTTAATGAATTGGAGGGTTAGGTAGTTCACTAGGGTGGAGGTACTTCACTAGGGGTGGGGACCGTCTCAAAGTTCAGAGAAAGTGTAAATGGAGCATTTTAAAAATTCAATTTTTATGTCCGAAGGCACTTGTTATATAAATCGACATAGTCAGTCATATACTACACCACTTGGACTATCTGGCACTAACTTGCGTTTTGGGTAATAGTAAAACATGAAGACACCCACAGACAGCCACAAACAGCCACAGACAGCTGCACAGACAGCACACATACAACCACAGACATCCATGGATGTCTGTGTTTGGATGTCTGTGTAGCTGTCTGTGCTTGTATGTGTGCTGTCTGTGCAGCTGTCTGTGGGTGTCTGCGGGTGTCTTCATGTTTTACTATTACCCCTAGCGTTTTGGAGCATATTCATAGATGGATTAACTGGAGCGGTCAGAAGGCCCCCCGAAATGACGAAAAACGAACATCCCAAAATATAATCTTGTAATATCTCAAATGAAACCTCAAGACTCGGAGTGTCCAAATATACATGTGTCGACGTCATTCGCTGCAAAATAAGATCTATAGATCTATAGATATTTTAGAAATGTAGTCAGCATATGTGTTTAATGGAAAAATACATTTGAGCGAGGTTGAAGAAAACACGTAATGAAACGTCTCTACAAATTCCTCTCTTTTACCTCAAACACAAAAATGCGTTTCTTACCATTCTTTTTTATAAAAAATAAAAATTTCGCGTTTTGATGAGGCAAGCTACGTAAAAAATTGAACGGGCGAACTGACTAGTCTTTTTTCCTAGTCCGAACGACTGTCCCGACTAGTCTTTATTGTCATGTATGATGAATCTTTTCTTCAAAATCTGTTGTATCTGTACTCCAGATCACAGCATGATCTTGTCAAGGGCCTTTGGAATAGTATGACATTGAATCAGTTAAATCTTGCCCGTCAGTAGCATTTAGCGATGTGAGTGAACTAATTTGCTCACATTTCTCGTAGAGATGTTTCTTTCTAGCCCGACAAGTTGGTCAGACTTCTACTGATAATTGATTCTAGTTCATTCAAAATAAGGAATTTAATTAAGATGTCAAACTGCACTATAAGGTTGGAAATTATTTATGGAAAATACTCAGCGATTTTCAAAGAGTACATATCGGAATTCCCCGAGAATTTTCCAGTTTATTTGTTAAAAAACATGAACCTCTTCTCTAGGAAAAATAGAGTTTTTTTGCAGCTAAATCAACACCACATCCTGAAGCCGCGCCACTACTTTCTTCTTTGCGTACACACAAGGCAAAGCCTCCTTCTATAACAACATCTGATCTTTCATCGGAAAACAAGACTACGGTCAAACGGCTTCAACAACAAAGAAGATATCAGGAAAAGGTTGCCAATGAACATTATTCTCGGCTCTTTCGAGATTTGGCCAGATTTGACAAACAAGTAGAAATGATACTTTTTTCGCATTGAGGAAGTTTTTTGGAGGACAGGACTTGTTCTTGTTGAGATAGAGACAAATATCCGGATAGATGTGAACAATTTTTCGTACACCGTAGACAAATTTCCGAATATGACTATCTATATGTAACTAGTTTTGCCCATGATTTTACTGTATGTCTATAGTAACCTTATTATCTTAAAAAAATAGTTCGACTAGTGGGTAAAGTGTAATAATTGTGACTTTACTATGTTCCTAAAACTTTTTCTCGGATTCTCAGTGGGCGCAACCTTTCATTGATATTTTAAGTTAGAAAACTATCGAACCTGTATAATGCAAACTACCTATCCTTTTATCTTTTTTTCGGACTTAAATAAGCACTTTCCGTGACATATGCATCTGTGCACCGATCGCACATGTGCCGAATGACATCGACACATATATATTTGGACTCTCCGAGTCTGAGGTTTCATTTGAGATATTACAAGATTATATTTTGCGATGTTCGTTTTGAATGGTGGAAATTTGCTCGAATGAAATTTCCTCGAACGGAAACTTCCTCAGATTTTCCAAACAGAAATTATTAATATTATTTGCAGTGTATAAAACAAGAGAAACATTAAAGATGAACACAAAAAATTACTTTATCTACAGATAAATACCAATAAGACAACTGAACCTATCGTTACGTAATGAAACTGCTTTATTTGAAACATAAAATTTATAAATGGATGTTATGAGGTATAGTAGCTATTTGTTGCTCTATATTGGGATGAGGATATAGGAACGTTTAATTAGATTTATTAAACGTTTATTATGATCTGCATAATAAACGTTTCTGTTGAATTTTTGCTTCTTGGCCGGCATTTATAGCTGCCAAATCCAATTGAAGAGAACTTTCTTCTGTTTTTAATTTTTCTAGAAATGTCCACAATGTAGGATGTTCATATTGAAACGATTTGTGTAATTTATTGTACCGCTCTTCAACGTGATTATGCTTTGAAGCATTGCTTGATCTGTACGGCTGTGCATATTCCATAATTCAACAGCAAATTTCAGATTTGCTCTAACACCGCCTGCATGCAAGCATCCGATATACGTGTCTTCGAAATAATTCAAAAAATCTTGTAAATCTAATGTTAAGTCTTCAGACAAAAAAACAAATCCTGGTATGACGTCTTGTAGTGGTAAAAAAGCTAATGCAGCTACACGAGTGCAATTGTAAGCAAATAATGAATCTGCATCGTATCGATTCTAGAATAAAAGAAACAGAACGTAGACTAAAAGTGCATTGAATCAATGTAACTGATAGTTCAGTTAAGAGGGGATGGGTGCCTCCATTCATTTCTTTTCACCAGTCTGATTCACAAAAATTCACAAAACATTTTGTAGTTTTTTTCGGGTTTTCTACCCTATTTTTAAAATTTCAATAAAACTTCAGCTTTTGATATGAAGAGTTGATCAAACTCTTGAACTTACCTGAACTTGTCGATAAAGACTTTGACGTAAATGAAAAAAACAGCCAGATGACACACAGGTCGGAAATAATTTTGTTATTGCATTAATTGATGCTTTTTCGAAGTCGGACATTATAGTAAGAGGATTCCAATTTGGTGCGATAATTTTTATCTGATTAAACAACTCATAGTATGTTTGTTCATTTTTAGTTGGTAATAGAGCGAAGATGACTGGTATCACATGATTACGATGTAAAGTGTGCAGCGAGAATAACTAGAAAAGAATATGTGGCACGACTTTTAACGTACCATCCATAAAAAATTCTGATGAAGTTTCGAGAGTTTTCAATTGCTCAGGGCTAGCGAAAATTAGAAAACGATTATTGTTATTGGATGAACCAGAATCATGAACTAAAAAAATATCATTCTTGGTTGTGACACACAATGAGAGCGGTATCGTGGAAAAACTCAAGTCGTATTCGGTATTAGTGGATAATCATTATCGGCACGATGGTGCTTAACTAAACGTTTTAAATTATGTTTTGAGGGTAATTGCGCTTGTGCAAGAGTGGAAAGTGCACCGAATGAATTTGTAACGATATTGGCTGGTGGTTCGTTGCTATTTATTGCACGATAACGAAGATCTTCATAATCTTTGCGACCTTCAAGCTTAATAGCATTTGCAGAATGTAAATGTGATTTCTTGTTAACAAAAATAACGGTATTAAGTAAATCTGTATGCACACGAGCTTCACATTTAATATTTGGATCGCGAGATTCTTCACATTTCCAATAAATTTTGGTACTATGCGTTTTGTCACGAATATAAGAAAATCCTTTTGATCATCTCTTATCATTACCTATTTCTCGTCTTTGTATCGATGTATCAAAGTGAATTTTAAAATGAGTTATAGTCTTATTTTTTCGTATAAACCGCTACAAACATATATAACCGAAAATTTAAGGAGGTTCTATACACTGCAAATAATATTGATAATTTCTGTTTGGAAAATTCGAGGAAGTTTCTGTTCGAGAAAATTATTTTCAAGAATATCGTTTTCAAGGAAATTTCATTCGAGAAAATTTCCCAAACCCGTTCGTTTTTCGTCATTTTTCTGGGGGCCTTCCGACCGCTCCAGTTAACACTTTCTCTAAACTTTGAGACAGCCTCTACCCCTAGTGAACTACCTTTTTCAGACTAAAGCTATATATCTGAGTAGAGCCATACATGTTCTGTGCAGTGAAACTCGTGTTTAGTCAAATACTTTTACTTTTCACAGAAGAATTTAGCCAAAAAGTATGACCATGGTTAATATTTTCCAATTTTGCAGATACGATTTCGCACACGTACGAAGGTCGAATCCACATATGTTTTGGGTATAGGTAGTATGCGACCTATACTACATACGCTGCAAGTACGAACTCTAGCTCTGCTGCGTAGACTGAAATATGCGTCAACCGACGTTTGAGCACCCGACATTTGAGCGCCCGACACTTGAGCGACCCCGACATTTGAGCGACCGACACTTGAGCGACCCCGACATTTGAGCGACCGACATTTGAGCGACGGACGTTCGAGCGACTCCGACATTAGACACTTTTCAATATGACTTTTTGCCGATCAGGAAAGTCGAATGATTATTCACTTCGATAACGATGATCAGAACAATTTTTTTGTCGTC